AACTCAGGAGTACCATCTCTCATATGTTAGATCTGTAAGAAGAAGGGGCATGATGTATCGAACTGCCAGTATTGTTCAACAACAATTATCGAAGTAATAATATACCCTACAACCTGGTTGCTCTTCATATTTGAAGCTCACGAGATGAAGAATGGCATTTAGACATTGCTACAAATGCTCATATGACAAATAATCCAAGTAATCTTGTGAACATAGTTCCTTACCATGGCCACGATAGTGTGATAGTTACGAATGGTAATCACTACCAATTACTCTTGTTGGGACTGATGACTTTGGCAATGAGAATAGTCAGTTTTTCAGTTTTGGTAGTTCCACAAATGAAGAAAAATCTATTCTATGTTTCTCAAATGACAAGAGATTATCCTTCCTCTTTTGACTTTCGTGCCTTTGTTTTTACTATCAAGGACTCTAGGACACACTAGTGTTTGTGACGGGAACTAATCATCAAGGGCTATGTATCAATAAGGAGCTTCATTACATAGCCTACTTTTCTCAGAGAAACAAGGTTATGGACGAACTTATGTGGCAGCTCTGAACAATTGTGTATTCCAGCTTTTGTAGTGTGATAATTTTATTTAGTAAGTAAATTCATTGACACTTTTTATACAGGTTGTCAGATTAGCAAAAGTTCAAAATTGCCATTTTCTCTTGATGTTCCCATACATTGGAGAAAATACATTGTGATTTTTTGGATTCGAGTGCAATTCCTGATACTGCTGGATGTATCCATTGAAGTGAAAATCAGATTTCTTTAAGACTTCTATCTTTTCAAAGATGAGTTGAAAATCAGCTTGAATAGGAAAATTAAAAATTTTCAATCTAATGAAAGAGGAGAATTCACAAGTAATAATTTTGTCACACATCTTCGTGAAATATGTATACAACAACAACTCTCTTTTCTAAGTACACGAGAGCAAAATTCTATTGCTAAGAGGAAACAACGGCACATTATTGAACTCGGGCTTGCTACATTATTTGAGGCCTCTATACCACTCAACTATTGGGTGGAACTTTTTACAACAATGAATTATTTGATAAATCTACTTCCTTCCACTACTCTAGGCAACCAAGCACATACTCGATCTTAGGGCCCTAATTATTCATTTCTCTGGGTGTTTGGATCTCATCGTTATCCATATTTACGCAACTACAAGATGAACAATTTGACAATCAACAAAACATGGGAACTTGTTTTCCGTCATCCCTCAATGAATGTGGTTGGATGTAAATGGGTGCACAAAGCAAAACTACATGCAAACGGATCAATTGACCGACTAAAAGCCCGACTTGTTGCACAAGACTTCCATCAAGAGGAGGGCGTTGATATCATAAAAAATTTTAGTCCAATAGTCAAACAATCCACCATTCACATTGTTCTATCCATTACTATAGTTCAAAGCTGGGAAATTTGCCAATTAGATGTCAAGAACGCCTTCCTACATGGCGATTTTGATGTTCTCGTCTATATGGAACAACCACTTGGCTTATATGATTCATCTTGTCCTAATCATGTTTGCTTACTTTGGCATGCACTATATGGGCTCAAACAAACTCCTAGAGCATGGTTTCACAAGTTCGGTGACTTTCTTTTGAGTATGGATTCTTCTATAGCACTATTGATTCATCATTATTTGTTTATCATCATCGTGGTCATATAATCATTCTATTGCTCCATGTGGATGAATATAGTCCTCACTGGTGATTCCCCACAATTATTGAACCATGAAAGACCTTGGAACTCTTCATTATTACTTGAGCATTGAAGTAAATCACTCCATCGATGGACTCTTTATCTCACAACGAGAATATGTCTTAGATCTTTTGAGTCAAGCATCCATTGTGCAATGCAGGCCAATTGATACTCCCATAGCTATCAAGTAGCCTCCAACCAAGCAAGGTGATAAGCCATATGCTGACCTATCTCATTTTTTAAGCATTATAAACGCTCTTCAATACCTTGCTCTCAGTCATCTAGATTTCTTGCTTGTGGTCAATATAGTTTGCCAACAAATACATGCCCCAAATGTTGTTTACTATCATTGAAGTGCCTTCATTTTCTCAAATGAGGACCTGAAGTGGATCTTGTTTTAAAAAAAGGGCCTGAAGTGGCCATGGCAATTTCAACTAAGGACCTGAAGTGGCCATGACAGTTTCAAATAAGGGCTCGACCTCGTCGATAGGCCAAATATACTGGCCGATCAAGGGCATTTTTGTCCAAAGATAATTTCAATTTAAATTTTAGTTAAATTAGATTAAAAATTAAAAAAAAAGCTAAATTTATTTTTTAAAAAGAAAAGAAGAAAAAAAATACAGGCAAAGGGCCTGAGTTTTTTTAAAATTTTTTAGCCTTTTTTTTTTTGGTCGAAATTTTTTTTTCTTTTTTGAGTTTGTCTTTTATGGAAATTTTTTTGAATTTTTTAATCTAATTTAATTAAGATTTTGTGTAAAACGTAGGATTCGAATTAAAGCGATGTCGTTTTAGTGCTTTAGTTAACCTTAAGTAAGACACCACGTTGGAGAGATAAAATATTAAAAAAATCACGTCAGCATTTTTCGTTAATCAAATTGGACGGAGTTAACAGAAGGAATCAAGGGCTTGCAAGCCCTTGCCAGCTGCTAGTGAGGGTTGCCTCGCCCAGGTCCTTGCTTGCTGTAGGCAAGGTGATCCTCGCCCAGCCTTGCCTATGGTCGGCGGCCGACGAGGGCCGCGCAGGCGAGGCCGGCCCTCACCCATGGCTTTTGAGCGCGGCCTTGCTTGGCTCTCTTTGGGTATCACCGGTGGCTAGCCATCACTTGAGATCAGCCACCGAAGAAAAGGAAAGAAAAAAACATAAAAGGAAAAAAAAGAAAGAAAAAAGGAAAAAAACAAAAAAAGGAAAGAACAAAAAATGCGGTTGACCAGCTGATGATGTGATCAAGCCCTTCTTTGAGACTAACTTGGCCACTTCATGCCCCTATTTGAAACAAAATCCACTTCAGGCCTTTATGTGAGAAGATGATGGCACTTCAGACCCTTATTTGAAAAGATGAGGGAACTTCAAATCCTTATTTGGAATTATCCCACATTATAGTCACAAACTTTGTCAGTGTCACCAGAAGTTTGAGCTTGTTCAGTACTTGCCACCATTGCTACAACCAGATGATGACTAAATCGCCAAAAAAGGAGTAGGTTTAAGAAAACCATCGCTTCTCTTCTCAAAATGGAACAAACCTCTCTCTCTCTTATCACTTACTTCCTTAAAAGTAAAATAAATTATTGTTGACTTGAAAGAGAGTATAAATTAGGATATTTGATCTTTTAATTTTTTCAAAAGCGAGATTGAATTGGGGGATTCCATGGTGAGATTTTAGAGGAAGAAGCTCGTAACGCGAATTGGCACATGCAGACAGTATTATCGAGTGTCTATTTCGCGGAACATTAATAATTAATAATTTGAAAAATATTTTCTTAAAATTGATCATTTATATTATTTAAAAATGAATTAACTAAACATATATTTATTTTTTATCATGAATGAAATTTTTTAGGTGCAGAATATTATTGATACGAAAATTATTGTGCGTTGGCTATTTTAGGAAAATATCGAATTATGAATTTTTCGTGAAATGAATGCACCCCGTGTGCTTTTAGTTTGTATCAGCAGATGGTGAATCAAGTCCTTATATAAAAATCGACCAAATGTTATGCGTGACACACTTGCCACATGGCACTATCTTTCGTGAAATTTGACTGATAAAGTTAGTAAATCGGACTTTGATTGAATATTTGCTAATATTTTTCATGACTTAATTGCACAAGTGAAGGGTCTATTGCACTCTTTGGAGATAATTATCCGCAAAAAATCCACAATCTGTCTTGTCGCTTGCGCGGTCCCGAAACGCATGGATGATCTCTTTCCCAGCTCTCCATGTCCTGTTATACTTGTCGTTTTTTCATCGGAATGAATGCCTGACAGAAAATTCTCGTGGAAAATAAAATGGGGTCGCGTAAGCTCTTACCTCAGATCTTAAGCTCATAGCTCAGCTTATCAAGCTCCGATTGATTTCTGGTATTTGCCATCGTATTTCCTCATATCGAATCACAATAACCCCACCAGGCGCGCCATAAACATATTTTCTCGAGAATTGACCCGATCGGCGAAGTGCCTTTCACCATAGGTTGATCTTTGATTTTTATTGAAACGGGTTCAGTGACAATTCAGATCGGAAGCAAATTACATACTAAGAACAATTAAATCTAGAGAAAAGTAAATGCAAGTACAAGAAACTGATAAATCTATAAAATGTGAAAATACATAAGTGTGTTTGTTGATGATCGTGGATCATTTTAAAACAATTCAACGAGGCTTTATATAGCCTATTACAAAGTGTAACGGCTTACATACGGTTAATATTCAAATTAATGGTTACAACCGTATATCCACGACTTTAGACTCCATGATTTGCACGTTGGCCGTATCTACAAGCGGTTAGAATTCTTTAGTTACCATTGGACATAACCGTCAATTGGCATCTTCCCCTTGTCTTCAGTCGCTATACTCAACACTGACCTGCATCTGTCAAGTATCAATTGGCGACCAATCACTATCGTAGATCTACAGCTGTAGCATGGTTGTCGATAAATATGGTCATCAACCAGCATCTCTGCTGTCGACAACTCATCAATGACAACACCAACCCATATCGGAGTCATGTGGATTAAAAAGACTTGCGTGTCAACAACAAGTATCATGTCATAAGGTGGGACCCAATTGCAATTTCCTAAATTGGAAGATTTGGCTGGCTATAGCCTCCGAATCCTCCAGCGTTCAGACTTTCTTCTTCTAAGCTATAATAAAGGCAGGGTGGTGCCATTCGAATCTATTTTTGTCGAATGCGTTAAATACAATGATGTATTGTGATGAAAAGGAAATATGAGAACCATTTGGCAAAGGGACACACTTATCTTGCCAGAGAAGGCTGTCCCCTAGCCACGGGTCATCGGTTTACGAAATTTATTGCACGTCAATGATAATATCGTGATATTTTATCGCGTGGCAGATACTTCGTCCGATTATATGTGATCAAGGTTCGTCCGATTATCATTTTCTTATTGTGAAATTCAATTCAGTTTAAATATCATCAACTGTGCTAGTAGTCTAACCATTATTTTGACACCCAAAGAAGTATCGCAAAACACTCTTCTCGATGGATCCTAGGTTGCTTGAAGCATCCCACACAGGGAATGTCGATCAATTGTACTCCTTGGTCAGAGAAAACGTCCTCATCCTCAACGCAGCATCTCTCGTCGAAGGAGACAACCCTCTACATATTGCCTCGATGGCCGGCCACGTGAATTTCGTCAGAGAAGTCCTCAAACTGAAGACGGAGTTTGCGGACGAGCTGAACCAGGACGGTTTCAGCCCTCTGCACATTGCCGCGGCGAGGGGCGATGTGGATATCGTTCGGGAGCTTTTGAAAGTGGGCAATCGCCTGTGCCTTGTGAAGGGGAGAGAGGAAAGGATTCCTCTGCACAATTCAGTCGTCAAGGGGAGGAGCGAAGTCTTGAAGGAACTGGTTTCGGCTTGTCCAGATTCCATCGAGGAAGTGACGGCTCGGAGGGAGAGCGCACTCCACCTCGCTGTGAAGAACAGCCGGTTTGAGGCATTGAAGTTGCTGGTACAGCAGCTGAAGCAGTCGAACAAAGAGCATGTCATGAATTGGCGGGACGGCCAAGGGAACCAGATCTTGCACCTCGCGGTGGCTAGAAAGCAATACGAGGCAAGTGCCCAGTTCTTTTGACCCGTTTCATTTCGTCGTACTGGTTCCTCTTCTTTGTTCTTCACAGGTGAAGCAAATAGAATTATTATTATTATAGATAATTATGAAAATATATTCCTAAAAATGATTGTTTGTATCACTTGAAATAATTAATCAATGAAAAGTATTTGCATTATCGATAATAATTAATGTATGAGCATTTTTGTGGACAATGAAAAAAATTTCGTTCGTGTATTTTTATGAGCAATAGAAGTGTCTATTTTTTGGAAAATATTTTTCAAATCATTCATTTTTTCGCGAAACATACGGAGCCTTTGTGTTAGAATATTTAGGCCTTAAATCACGCATTTATCTAACAGCTTAAGTTTTATAACAGTTGGCAGTGTTCCCACAAAATCTCGTAATTAAAAATATTTGTAAAGAGAACCGATAATAGTTCTAGTTAGTGTGAAAATGCATGTTTAGGGATCGAATGCATGTTTCCGCTAACAATTCGAGAGAAATTGCACAACGAGAATGTTGGATGACAAATAAAATATGTTATTGCATCGAATAGGTAGTGGAGTTCCTGCTCTCAGGCTATGCAATTGACAAAGATCTGGTCGAAGTGAACGCCAGAAATGAGGCGGGTTTAACGCCTCTAGACATCCTATTGCTCGTTAACAGTGAAGCGGGTGATGCGGAAATTGCCGAAATCCTCACACGATCTGGAGCCACGAGGTCAAGGGGATTGCCTTCTAGTTCTATGGTAACGATGGCGACCGAAGACCCTGAACCCCAAACCGATCAATCAAATGGACGTCTCCACCAATCACGTAGAACGTGGACCGACCGTTGCACATGTTTCTTGAAGCTCAAATTTGAGACGCCCCGATGGTTCAAGGATTTCGAGTACAGGAAAGGAAGGGACTCCCCGGGTGATGTACGGAACGCCTTGCTCGTTGTCGCTGCTCTCATCACGACTGCTACCTATCAAGCCGTGCTTCAGCCGCCGGGCGGAATGTGGCAGGACGATTCAGGGCCCTCGACTGACAGCACTGATGCCACGAACAACAGGACCACATCGTACAAAGCCGGCCAGGCAGTTTTGGGAACGAAGAACCCAGTAGCGTACATCCTCTTCCTCATCTTCAACACGGCTGGATTCTTTGCCTCCCTCCAGATGATCGAAATCCTCACATTGGGATTCCCCATGAAGAGGGAGCTGCGAATCGCGCTGATCGCCCTGGTAACGACGTACGACATTGCAATGAGCGCCCTCACACCCAACACTTTCCTCGGCTACTTCTTTGTCTGTCTCTCGATTATTTTGCCGTTCATAATCGCGCTCGTAAGTCTGTGGGTAAGAAAATAAAGTGGTCCGTACAAAGGACATGATTTAATTAAGACTGAGAAACGTCGAATGCATTCCTACCTCAGTCTGTTGCAACCTACGAACTTGAGAGGGAACGAATTATTGTGAATGAAGCCACCACTGTTGAATGTGCCGAACTTTTTAGTCAATGTAAAGTTTGCTTTTTATCCATGAAAACATGAGGGGTTTTCCAGCTGAATTTCCTACACTCTGTTTTTTACTTCTGCCATTTATCTTAGATCTATGTTGACACCTAAATTTCGGCGCATCATTTAGTGGTTAATTGCATAGAAAATTAGGGATTAAATTTTAACCCCTGAACAAAAATATTACAAATCGCATAGCATAAAGTTTAGGTTCATATAGATTAACTGCATTTCGCATCGGATCGGTGGTGGTAAGCGAGCTTAAAATTCATCACATAAATCGAGCTCGGGTACCAAACGAGACTCGGCTCACTCGCAAAGTATGGGCCGAAAATCACACGCAAAAGAGCTTGGTCTCTCCAGGTCTTCCCTTGTAATAGTGACGTCGAGATTGAACTTGAAGTGCTTGACGAAAAGGTTTGCCACCTCTTCCCACGAGTCTTTCCGGTTGATCTGGTGGTTGGTATACCACCTCATTGCAGCATCCTTCAAGCTTGCTTGGAAGGTTTGGATCATTAGGGGTCCGTTAGACACATATCTATTCATGAGCCCCTGGTACATATCGATGTGCTGAATTGGGTTCGAGGTGCCGTCGTACTTCTCAAAGGCTGGCATCTTGAATTTATCGGGCACTTGGACCCGGGTAAAAATGGACAAATCAACGGGCGGAACACTTTGAGTTCCCTCCACTTCACATAACCTCTGGTCGAGCTTGGCCAACAACTTGGCATTATCATCGTTGGAGGGTGAATGAGGAACAGGGACCGACGGAGAAGCACTAGTGTCGATCAAAAAGGCATCATCCAGTTGAAGGGTTGGATTAGTGTTTACTGCAGGAGATTTGTCAGGGCGGAGGCCTTGACGGGTTGGAGGCGGAATCTCCGATTGGGAGGCAACATTGATCTGCTGTTGTTTGGCCATGAGATCACTCATCATTTTGGACATGGCAGCCGTGCTCTGCTCATTGATTGTATTCATGTGTTCTTTCAGCTTTTCGTCAATCATGGCTGCAATCTCGGCTTGATTGGCCATCCTTCTTTTGGTTACCGATCGAGTATTATGAGGATGAGGGGGATCCGTGGCAAATTACCTGCAAAAAGCAACGGTGGAATAAATACGACAAGTAGGAATAACGAGTCGGTCCACGACATCCTCTAGACCCTCAAGATGAAATTTCTTTCGAACGACCGATTCGTCCAGTAAATCCCGAAATTCCAAATTGCTTTATTCAATAAAAACCTGGACTGATTCCAAAATTTACAAATTATAGCTCAACGTTTTTCATTGAATTGCTCAAAATGAAAAATGTCTCAAAAGAATTCTTATAAAAAATCGTTCAGAAACGACGTCTATTACCAGAAAACGTTAATAGTAAGCTAACATTTCCTCCTAAAAAGAAAAACTCCTAAACCAAACAAGAAATCAGACGGTCTTCCTCTTTTTAGAGGCCATGTGATCTATAGACGAATGGGCCTTCAAGGCACGCCGTAATCGTGCATTCTCTTCAGCCAGAGCATCTGCCTTATCCTGGGCCTTCATCGCCTTTTCTTCGCTGATTTTGATTTGAGTCTGAAGGGTATGCCGTACTGTCACGACCGGGATCTTCGGGAATATCTCAGCAGGGATGGTATGATACTGAACAGACCAGGCCGTGGCAAAGTGACGCTTCATCCTTCCGATGGGCTCATCTGCGGGCCAAATCAGCTTCTGAGTGGAACAATTCTGCCAAGCTTCAGAATAATGCATAAGCTCGACTCTGTAGGACTCGCCTTTCTCGAACTGGACTTGAAATTCATTGGGCCTGAGTGGAGGTGGGACATCCTGCAGAACTCGGAATTGACGTGTAACTCGAAGGGGCTGATAGCAAGTTGCCCCATAAATGCCCATCAATGGTACGGACGTCTGATCGCCATGGTATAGTCAAGCCTCAACCTCCCGAAACCACACAGCTTGCCAAAGGAAAATCTTAGAGCTTGGATCCTTGAACAGATGGACCCATTGTGTATAGTGCAAACTCTTAGTTTGATCTTGTATTTGTTTGAACCTTAAAATAGGATTATCAGTCATGCCCATTTCAAATACAGTCATATTTTCCCCAAATTGAGAAAGGTGTGAGAAAAGCCAGATTTGTAAAAGCTCAATCGGGGCTCGAAAAGTTCTATCTTTTCCTTTCTTGAATCGTGTCAGAGATATGAAAGTCTCTGCCAGAATTGTGTTTATAAAACTAACTCCACCACATATTAGTTTTACCGTCCAAGCCATGACGGGATCAATAGCATTTTGATGGAATGGAAAAATGATGAGTCCAAAAAAAACTAAGATAAAAATTTTAGATCTCATGAGGACGGAGTTATTTTCGAAATATTCAATAAGAAAAGATAATGGGCATGCTTGACAATTACCCTTTAGCACTTTTTCAATTTCCTTTTTAGTCAAATTCAAAAATTCAGCAAGCACTACCACAGGATCTACCTTAATGGGTGGTTCGACTATATCCAACTCAATCGATTTCCCAATGGCAATACTGTATTCTTCCAGAGTCGGTGTGAGCTTAAACTTACCTCCCAACACAAATGTGGTTGTCTCGGGGCACCAAAAATGAGCGAGTGCTTGCATGATCCCGCTCTGAACATCTATGTTTAGGATTGGCAGCATGAATCCAATACGCTTGAGAACGTACTGCTGACCATCTGGCTTCAACTGGCTCCATAACTTCTTGAGCTCTAGCTTCGGAGTAGGCACGAAACGGATATCGAGGCGACCCATTCTTATATAGACCATGTGCCAAAAGACTCAACCTAAACCATGGACCGACTCAAAATAAGATACAGAAAACCAAAGATAAAGCTCGAGAAATTACCGTCTTTGGGGAAAAAATGTCAATCACAGAGACATGCATATGAATCGTGAGTTTAAATCTTAATCTATCTATCCTAATGGCTTTTGCAAAGCGAAATGATGAACGGAACGACACGTCGCAGCCTCGCGTACAATCATCATGACTAGTCGCGGCTTCACATACCATAGTCATGACTAGTCGGGTCCAATCACTTTGGCTTGGTTCGGTCGACAAGGGTAACCCCCATGCATTGTAGCCTCACGTGCATGAGGACGACCCTTGAGCCATCTTTTGAAAAAAAAATTCGGGATTCAAATGGGATAACCTTTAGCGAAGTCTCACCACCAAAGTTAAAGAACCATCCAAATACCATCTTAAAACCATGGGTGTGACCCAGGTCCGGTCACAGGTTGTGTGTGGTGTAGTGCAAATACTGTAAATCATGCACAACAATTATACGCAAACACCACTTCAATAGTACAAAAATTAAATCACAATTCCACTCCACCAAGCCTGCAAAACAAAGGGTTAGCCAATCACTACTCCCCTTATAACTCCCATCCTGCAAAACCATTTAACACCTAAGAATGAGAATTCAATCAAATTTTGTCAAATCGAGTGATTTTTCCATAAAAAAATTTTGGCCTAAGTCCTCCTTAAAATTTTTTTTAAAAAAATTCAAGTTAATGTCCCCAGTGGAGTCGCCAAGCTGTCGCGACCTAAAAAAATCGGGTTTTTGATTTTAGGTTAATGGATTACTAGATCAATTAAATTAACTAACCTAACTCGAGTTCTCCCAAACTCTACCAAATCGCAACTTAGGTGCAATCATGAAATGTGAATATTTTCAATAGGAGTCGCCACTAATCATTTAAGGTAGGTTGATTAGAAACCTAAAAAAAATAGCGGGAGTACTATTTTATTTCTGCGAACCAGAAATTATAGATTCGGGGACTTGGTTACGCTAGATTCCCTAACGCCCTTTCGGTACCAATTTCAAGAAAAATACTCAATTTGACAATTTTGATAAATCCTGACTTAGAGTTCAAAGGTGCAGAAATTTACCTTTTTTTTATTTTTTTACTTATTTAAATGAAAGCTAACCTATATGTAATGACGTGCAAAAATTGACATGCGATTAATGCAACCTAACATGCAAACTATATGTCATGCGACGACGTGACCTATTTCTAATGACGGGCATATTATTTTTTTTGTATTTTTTTTAAATGAAATTCGGAATTAAAAATGCCAATTATCTAAACATGCAATTTCAAACTAAAGAAATTAACCTATTCTAGAGTAATATTTTTGGTATTTTTTTATCGAAATTCGAAATCAAGTAAAAAAAATATAACTGCTAAATCTTTCGAATTAAGTTTCGATCTGAAGCCTGACAGATCGATCCTAAAATTCGAAATACCCGCTATGGAAATAACTCTATCTAAAGCCTGATAGATAGATTTATTTCCACGTGTGCGGTTGCGGATTAGGAAATTTCCTAATCGATCACATCTTGAAAAAATTTAGATATCTCAAATATCTTGGATATATTCAAAAGATTTTGAAAATTCTAAATTCTATCCAAATTTGATAAGATCAGATATCCAAGATTTCAAAAAAGGAAATAAATCCTAATTGAAATATGCTTATTACTCGAATATGCAAAATTAGATATCAATAAGCACAAATTAGGCAACAAAATATTCAAATCAAATCGGGATAAGATAATTACCTGATTTGCAGATTTCTTTCCTAATTTGAATTTGCAGCGGATCGGGATGGTGACCGGCGGTGCGTCAGGAGCGGCGGCGCGGCGTCTCACGTCTGGCCGCGGGCTTGCTGGTGTTTTGCTGCCGTGAAGGATTAAACTCGGTGGCGTGTGGCGGCGACGACGCACGAGAGGCGGTGCACGAGCGGTGGTGCACGAGCGATGGCGCGGCGTCGAGAGCAATGGCGGTGGTGTCTCGTCGGTGTTGCTCATGGACAGCATGATGGTGTTTAGCTGGGGACCTCCACGGCTTGGACTGGTTCTCGGCCGAGAGTGCTCTCAGTGGGCTTGGATGCTTAGCCGACTATGGTGACTGGTTGTGACGCTTTAATCACAAAATAATCAAGACTGCTCAAGAACTCACTGGACCTCCTGGACATTCGCTGCTTGCAGTTGCTGTTGATTGATCACTGGACAGAGAACAGACAAGCAGGAGCCG